GCAGAGGCAGAGGGAGAAGCAGGCTCCCCGCCGAGCAGGGAGCCCGATGCGGGACTCGATCCCAGGACCCTGGGATCATGACCTGAGCCGAAGGCAGACGCTTAACCATCTGAGCCACCCAGGCGCCCCGAAACCAGGACCTTTATTAACAGCTGAACAAACAAGCTCATAACTAGAGATAAATGCCATGTCCTCACTTGGGTTCAAAAGCATAATTCCACTTGTCCAGAAGAAACAAGATTTGGCTTACAAGCACATTGTGTGAAAAAAGAATGTGTGGTTTTACTTGATGGCAAGCTCAGCATAAGCCCAAAGTGTGGTTTCATACGAAGCAGAGCTCACACAACCCAATTTGTACCCCACGCCACTGGTGCATCACACCCCTGCAGCACACCCCTGCAGCACACCCCTGCAGCACACACCTGCTGCACACCCCTGCAACACACACCTGCAGCACACACCTGCTGCACACCCCTGCAACACACACCTGCAGCACACACCTGCTGCACACCCCTGCAGCACATTCCTGCAGCACACCCCTACAGCACACACCTACTGCACACCCCTGCAGCACACAACTGCAGCACACCCCTGCAGCACACTCCTGCAGCACACACCTGCTGCACACACCAGCACACCCCTGCAGTACACCCCTGCAGCACACACCTGCAGCACACACCTGCTGCACACCCCTGCAGCACACCCCTGCAGCACACACCTGCTGCACACCCCTGCAGCACACCCCTGCAGCACATTCCTGCAGCACACCCCTGCTGCACACACCTGCTGCACACACCAGCACACCCCTGCAGTACACCCCTGCAGCACACCCCTGCAGCACACACCGGCTGCACACCCCTGCAGCACACCCCTGCAGCACACACCTGCTGCACACACCTGCTACACACCCCACTAGGCTGCAAGGAGAGCATGAAGCAAGCAGTGAGGAAGCGGAGTAGATGGGATAGGGTTCTTGGAGGATGGGTGGTCACCAGCTGTGGGCTCAGGGGATTCCTACCCAAGGCAGCAGCTACCCTCAAAGAGTAAAGAGCACTGGACGTGGAGTCAGAAAAGCTGGGTTTCTCCCATCTTCTGCCTGTGTGACTCTGGGCCTCCATTTTCTGATCTATAACAATACCTCCCCCCCTCACTCCCCCAGGGTGTCTTGCGGGTCATGTGACATGATGTCTATAAAAGAACTGTGTAAATTACAAAGCTCTTGGGAAATACAAGAGCAACTATATTATTCCCTCTAAAGATCCCTTTTGTGAACTGCATTCAGGGCTCTAGCAGCGCGGGCCTACCAGCCTGTCCTCCCTCCTCGGGGAGACACCACCCCTAGCCAGATCCTCCCAGGCCCGGCTCCAACACCCAGCCGCCCACCTGCTCGCCCCCTCCCCAAAGCAGGGCAGGCATGCAACAACAGGGGCGGGGCTCTGCCGCCATCTTGGAGCTGGAGGCCGAGCACAGCTCCCAGACCTGAGCTCAACCATACTTCAGAGGCTCACAGCACAGCAGGGGAGGCAACTAGGCCCAGAGCAAGAAGACAGCACGAAGCTCTACCGCTCATGGTCTCTCAGCTCCCCATCTGGCTTTTGGGATGCCCCTTTGGGACGCCCCTTTGGGTTGACCTGGGTTCTAAAGGAACCTCGTCTACCAGCTCCACACGTTAAGTTCAAAACCTACCACCCCTTGCTGAGGCCTGTTTCCCCTCTGTAAATGGGAGTGTTGGTCTCCTTGGATGAGCCCCAGGCTTCCACGCCTTTAGCGCACTAGACTGCTGGCTGTGGAGTCAGGCAGTCTTGAGTCAGAATGCTGCCTGTGCCTCCTTCTAGCTGTGTGGCCTTACCTAATTACACAACTTCTCTGTGCCTCCGTTTATTACATGTAACCCAAGGATAACTGTGCTTCCATCTAGGTTCATTTGCGAGAACCAAAAGAGATACTACCGGGAACTTGGTCGACACAGAGGTGCACAGTAAGTGTTATTTTCACCGTCGTGGGAGGCTTGGGACTGTATGGTAACCACGGATCCCGAAGCTTTTCTGCAGCAGCGCAGGTGGTGGGAAAGCGTATGGGGTCAGAGGGCCTGTAGGTGAGATGGGACCTCCCCGAAGGAGGGAGGGAGGGTCCAGGCACCTTGAGAGTCATGGGAGTCAAGATCCCGGGAGACGCCTCTCAAGTCACGGGGTGGGTTTCTGGGTCCCCACGAGGGAGACGCTTCCTGAAATCCTGGGGTTTCCAGCGGCCCCCCCGGGGGCGCTCCCCGAGTCCTGCGGGTTCCGGGCTCCCCGGCGAGGGGTCCCCCCACCCCAGCGTCTGCTGACGCTCCCGGCTGCCCGCAGGTGCGCCGGAGCAGCGCTGGTCCATGCAGGTGCCGGCCGAGGTGAGCGCGGCGGCGGGCGAGGCGGCCGTGCTGCCCTGCACCTTCACGCACCCGCACCGCCACTACGACGGGCCGCTCACGGCCATCTGGCGCGCGGGCGAGGCCTACGCGGGCCCGCAGGTGTTCCGGTGCGCGGCGGCGCGGGGCAGCGAGCTCTGCCAGACGGCGCTGAGCCTGCACGGCCGCTTTCGGCTGCTGGGCAACCCGCGCCGCAACGACCTGTCGCTGCGCGTCGAGCGCCTCGCCCTGGCCGACGACGGCCGCTACTTCTGCCGCGTGGAGTTCGCCGGCGACGTCCACGACCGCTACGAGAGCCGCCACGGCGTCCGGCTCCGCGTGACCGGTGAGCGCGGCGCCCTTCCCCCCGGCCCGCCGCGTCCCCAGGGGGGCGATACACGGCGCCTTTCTCTAGGGCAGGGGGCCGCACACCTGGCGATGGACGCGGGCCGCTCGGCAACTTGGTAAAAATGCAGAATGCTGGCCCCGAGAAGGGCTGAGCGGCGCCCGGGAGTGGGCATCGGAATGAAGCTCGGGGAGCGCGGGGCGGGGGTTGGTGAATGGCCCCAGGAGCTCTCAGTCTAGGGGGAGGGACACAAGTTGAACAATAATGACAAGGCTGCGATGGAATGTGTGCTCTGTGCACTGAAGGGCACCCGCAGCCCCCTGGGGAGGTGCCCCGGGAGCCCCTAAAGAAGTGGGAACCAGGGTCCCCGGCCCCTAGAGCCGAGGTTCTCAACCCTGGCCGCGCACTGGAATTAGCTGGAGAGCTTTCAAAAATCCTAGCCCTCCCTGCTGTGGGGATCCCGTTCTGGGTTCCAGTCTGGCTCTGCCAAGAACTTCCCATGTGCCTGTGGAGTCAGGCGGTCCTGACTCTCCGAGTGCCGCCTCTCCGAGTGCATGTCAGTTTCTAACCCGGGGCCCGCGCGCCGCCCTGCCGCATACCCCCGCGTTCAACTCTAGACCTTGGTGAGGCTGTCTGCGAGTGGGAAGTGCCCTTGAAATCCTACCGGCAGACAGCCCCCAGCCCTGAGCTCCAGCAACGGTAACGACCGTTGAGTGAGCATTTGCTATGGGCCAGGCCCGGATCCAAGCACCCCACATGTATTAACTTGCCAAATCTCCTCAACGACCCCATAAGGTAAATGATCCCCATTTTATGCATGAAGAAACTGAGGCACGGAGCTTCAGAAT